TTTTAAGAAAGGAAGAGAGGTGATATAAAAATCATTGAAATATTTTTACAGAGATTTATAATAGAAGAAATTATTTGATTGGAATAAAAATGCATAAGTCTTGATATATAAATAAATCTAATTAAAAGGCTGTCCTACACTCGAGAGAGTGTGGTTTATATGAATAAGTTGAGTACAGGGACCTCAGGCTTGTATACGGGGTTGTAAATACACCTGGGGATTATCAAGCTTGTAGATTTTAACTTGGAATAATCTTATCCTACTATTTTATTTTTCTATTTTTTACAATCATAAAGAGCGTATGCGTACAGGACAGAGCTGCGATGTAAAGTTGCACCAGTATCCCCCCATAAATACTGAAGAGCAACGTTACTTACGCTTCATTCATGTTCAATCATAGTTGCGTATTACAACAAATATCGCACTCTTCGACGATTAGTAATACGCTTCATCTATAATATTCACCCTAATCAACATTGCTTCCACGAGAGTTATATCTCTCCGACATGGTCGCAGAAGATCCATTATCATCTTGTGTATATTTCTTTGCATTTTTTTATATATTTTTTTTATTCTAAATATCTGGACTAATCTGATTAGTCCAATTAGAGTCAATCACCCTCCCAATTAATAATCAAAATTACTCATATTATTCCGGTTAACAATCTATAAGACTTGATTAGCTTAGAATCTGTTAAAGCAAGCACTAGCAATTAATTAATTATCAATATTGTTTCAATGTTCAATTAATATTTTTGTATATTGAATTTCAATTTTTTCTTCTTTTAAGATTTTATATTACATATTGATGTACTTTAATTCATATTTATTTAAAATATGTGCTTCTCGAAAATTGTGAAATTGTATTACTATTTTTTGTTTTTTTTATAGTTTACTAAAAATAAAAAAGTGTCTTGTATATATTTAAGTGGTGTAATATGTACATCAGACACTCGTCGATGTAACTGCATACTTCGCGTTATAATATAAATGTAATTAAATAATAGATTTATGTACTCTATCGATCAAACATAGATTTAATCTCGTTATGGTTATTATTATGGCGATATACATAATTGCGTATGCATTTTGTAATACGACGCAAGGTGCAATATTGTTTATTTTTTTATTTTGAAAGCGGTGTTTATTAATTTTTAAATATTGTGATATATTCACAATTATTTAAGTTTTTTATAATGTGTCTTGAATAATTTCCTGTATGTATTTGTAATTGTATTAATCGATTAATAATTTTGTATGAAATAGAAATATTTTTCTATTCATATATTGTATATTAAAAAAAGCATGCATCAGAGACATGCATTTTTTCATATTCGCTTGTGTTTAAATTTAGAAAAACACATTTTCTAATGCATTGAGAAATCGGTATTTTTAAATGTTCACTTTTTGGTCATTTAAATCCTTTATTTTTTCAATTTTTAATTATTTATTAAATAATTCAATTGAAAAGTTTCGATCGTGATTCGTMCATCGAATTTCATTTTTCCACACATGCCTTTTTTATCTAGTTTTTTGTTATAGAAAGCACTGTATTTTCAAGCTGTAAGGTTTCATATCGCAAAATACCATTTTATCAATGGATATTTACAACAATGTCTGTAGTAGTATCCCAAGGTTTGTAAATGCAGTTATTTAGGATATAAAAATAAATTAATAAAAATTACGTATAAGTTATACGTAATAATATRAAATTAATTTTTGTTTTAGGCTCATCGATATTGGCAAGATTCTATTCCACTGTTTCTAGTTTGTGTTCTCGCAGTAGTCGTGGTGTTGGTTTTTCTGTCAAAATGTATGAATGTATGTGTGTGTGTGTGAACAAATTGTTGGTATTTGGTTTAGTATATCAATTATGCATTTATTGTCAGGACATTTTCACTGGTGGCTTTTGGTTTTTATCTATTCTTGTTTAATTATAAATCTT